ATATGTTATGTGTCTGAGGCCGGATTTGAACTCATGTCCTCCTGAATCTAGGGCCAGTGCTCTATCCATTGCACCACCTACCTGTCCCCAACAGATACTTTTTATGATATTAAAAAGGCTCTTTTCTGCCCATGCTTTGTATTTTTTTTAATAGCAGAAATGAGTGGTTGTACTTCATCAAAAGCTTTTTCTGCATCTACTGAAATAATCACGTGATTTTGATGTTTTTGTTTTTGATACAATTGATTAGATTGATTGTTTTCCTAACGTTGAATTATCTTTGAATCCTTACGTCCTTTATCTGAATGTTATTGATTACTACTGAGTAATTTCTTGGATGAATTGCTGTAATGTCCTTCATAGGATTTTATTTAGAATTTTGAACTAGTATTCATCAATGACATTGGGCTATAGTTCTTTGCTTTTTATCCTTCCCTGGCTTAGGTATTAGGACCCACATATTGCTTAAGAAAGGAGCTGGATAGAATCCTTTCCTTTTCAGTTTTTGAGAATAATTTGTGTAGTAGTACTCCTAACTGTTCTTTAAATTTGCTAGAATTCTCCTGTGATTCCATTGTGACTAGAAGGGTTTTCCTTTGGATACTCCTTTAGACATGGTTCCATTTCTTTTTTGAGATTATATTAATTAAGAACTCTATTTGGGAGTCTTTTAGTTTGGGTATTTTATGCTATTGAAAGTATTCCTCTGTTTCTTTGTGTTCTCAGTTCTGTTAGGATACAAGTCTGCATAGGAGATAAGTATGCTTAGGAGATTCTGATCACTCTTTGTATTTCTCCTGGTTTTGTTGTGTTCACACCTTGTTTATTTGCTATATTGTTGGCTTATTTTCCACTTTCTTCCTTTTAATCAGGTTGGTTATGTCATTCATTTTTTTAGTCTTTTGCAAGAACTAGCTTTTAGTTTTTTTCCCTTATCATTTGATAGGCTTTTTGGTTTCTAATTTATCCATTTCTCTTCTAATTTTCCATATTCCCTCCTTTGTGCTTATTGTACATTTGTTTATTTGTTGGCTATTTTTGTTTTTAGAAAATATATATTTAGCTCAGTCTTTCTTTCTTTTTCTATTTTGTTAATACATGTTTTTAGGGATATAATTTTCTCTTGAGGACTGCTTTAGCTGCATCCCAGAAATTTTGACATATTGCTTAATTGTTATCAAGGGGAATGGTAAGGGAACAAGCACCTGCTATGTGCTGGGCACTGTGCTAAATACTTTACAAATATTATTCATTTGATCTTCACAGCAGCTCTAGGAAGTGGGTGCTATTATTATCCCTATTTTACAGTTGAGAAAACTGAGGCAGACAAGTTAGGTAACTTGCCCAGGGCTGCAAAGCTAGTGAATGTCTGAGACGGGATTTGAACTCTACCACTTAGGTGCAGTGGATAGATAGAGTGTTGTGTCTAGAGTCAGGAAGACCTAAGTTAAAATCTGTCCTCAGATACCTACTTGCTGTGTGACCCTTTAGCAAATCACTTCTATCTGTCTGCCTTAGTTTCCTCAGTTATAAAACAGGTATGGAACAGAACTATAAAACAAAACTTACCTCACAAGGTTGTTGTGAACATCAAATGAGATAATATTTGTAAAGTGCTTGGTAAAGAGTCCAGCATATATTAGGTGCTTAATAAATGCTCATTTCCTTCCTTCCTATTATTTTCTTTCACATAATTATTAACTCACATAATGTTTTAATTGTATGTGATTGTTCTTTGACCCATTCGTTATTTAGGATTTTATTTTTAAGATGCCACTTGAGCCTTAGTCTTTTGTTTCTGTTCCATAAACTAATTAGTATTTTTATGCATTATGGTCTGGAAAACACGTGTTTACTGTTTCTTCCTTTTTACAGCTGTTCGCAATATCTCGATGTCCTAATACAAAGTCAGTTTTTGCAAAAGTTAAATGTGGTGCTGAGAAATACTTATATTCTTTGTTGATTCCATTTAGGAGACATTATAAATCTTTTAGCTCTAGTTTTCTCCAGTAATTTGTTAAATTCTATATTTTCCTTTTAATTTATCTTTCTAGTAGATTTGTTCAAAATGGAGAGAGGTATTAAAGTCTCCTGATATTATTGCATTACTTACTATGTCTTCTTGCAATTCAGTTAATTTTTTCTGTATGAATTTAGATGCTAAGGCATTGGGAGCATATAAGTTTAATAGGGGTTTTGGTTTGCCTATAATTCCTTTCACCATAATGTGGTTTTCTTTTCTTTTCCTTTCTTTTCTTTTCTTTTTTTTCAGCCACTTTTTAGTTTGCGAATTTTTGTTTTTGTTTTACCTGAGAGCATGATTGCAATTATTATTTTTTCATTCACCTGATGCATAATAAATTTTGTTCCAGCCCCTTGTTTTTATTTGTTGCATGTCCTTCCATTTTAGATATGTTTCTTTTAAGCAACATATTATAAGGTTTTGGTTTCTTCTCCAATCTGCCACTCTTTTTCATTTTATTGGATTGTTTAAACTATTTAAATTTACAAGTTAGGTTTATATTTTCCTCCATTTCCTTCATTTAAAGTGGTTCGCCCTTGGATGCCATATTTTTCCTCTTAGCAAGGAAGCTATATATGCTAACTGAGATGGTATTTAGACTCTCTTGATCTTCCTGTCGTGGCAATTGATTTACATAAGCAAACTTTCTTGGGAAATGGTAGTTTGTGCAGATAAATGTTCTTTTATTCATTTTCAACTTATCAATGCCAGTAGCTTGTTTAAATAATTTGGGTTGGAGATATTTTCATTATGAGACATATCTTCTTAGTTTTTTCCTTCTCATTGTTTTGATCTTTGTGCTAACAAGTCAGTGGTCTGACTGTATACCAAAAGTTGGTCAGAAAGTAACTGCCAAGTCAGTAATCAGTTATTTCCTGCCTAAGACATAGTCAATTTTATTTTTGTAGAGATGTCATATATTGTTTGCCATGTTCTGTATAAGAGACCACATGGTGCTGTGCACAGCAAACTGACCTGGAAGTTAGGAACACCTGTGTTCAAGTCTTGCTTCTGACTCAAACTGGCTGTGTATCCCTGGTCAAATTACACAACTTTTCAGTGCTCTGGGCAATTCACTAAGAAAAATTATTTGTAGAAAACGTGTCAAAATGCAGTGGTAAAGGTAATTTCCTCACCCAAGAGTTCCCATTCCCAGCTCTTACTCTCCCATATGTCTTTGTGTTGGAATCACTGAGAATCAAGGTCTACACTATTTCAATTTTGAGGATCTTAAATGTTAGTGCCTAAATTATAATTGTTTTCCTGCCTTATTGCCTCATCAACAAGGCAAAATGAATTATGTAGTTCTTGATTTATTGGAATGCAAGATAAAGCAAACTCTCCTGACTCCTTTCCAAAGAAAACCTGCAAGTCATGCTTTTGTTAAGCTTCTATTTCCTTATGTCTTCTGTTTTCATTTATAGTGAGAATGTCAAAATCGATATGATCTAGTTCCTCCAGCTGTGGGTCAAATCAGTCATTGGATGAGGCTCTCACATTTAAAGTACCAGCAGGAAATAAATGTTGGCAGTCTACAAAAGGATCCTTATAGCCCTTGGCTCCTTTACCTGTTGCTGCCATGCCTCTCCTGTCTGAGGCTCAGATAACTGACAAACCCTGTCTTTGGAGCCACATCGAAGCCTTTACAGCCTGCTAGAGCCTGCTAGAACTTGTCCTCCGCTGGCATGGACTTGGAGAACCCATTGTAACCTGTATGACATTAAGAGGTTTCAAAGCGGGACCTGATCTGGTCTTTTGGCCAGGAGTTTGACCATGAATTAGCTGTGTGGCCTTGGATAAGTCACTTCCTCCTTCTGGGATTCAGTGCCCTCTGCTACAGAAACTAAACGTTAGACTAGATGTTCTTTCTAGCTCTAATATTTGCAGCTCCAAGTCGAGGATTCGTGATTCTGCTACAGCTCTACTCATAGTAAAGGGGCTCTCTTTGAACGTGTTCAAAATCAAGCTCATTATCTTTTCCCCATGCATGCTCCTGCTTTTAACTTAACTGGTTTTGTCTGTGGAAACCAGACAAAAACATTCTCTGTTGGATGTAAAATACTGTGCTAGAGATAAAAAGTAAAAAGAAAAGTTTCTACTCTCAAGGACCTTGCAGATTTCCAGGGGTGGAAAGAGAGGAGGAAGTGGAGGCTGAGATACAACATGTATGCTGACCTCTCTCTCTCTCTCTCTCTCTCTCTCTCTCTCTCTCTCTCTCTCTCTCTCTCTCTCTCTCTCTCTCTCTCTCTCTCTCTATATATATATATATATATATATATATATATATATATATATATATATAAACACACACATATATGATATAGATATAGATATAGATAGATATAGATATAGATATAGATATAGATATAGATATCCAGAGCAGCTAGATGGCAGAGTGGGTAGAGCACTGGGCCGAGAGTCCAGAAGACGTGAGTTCAAATCTGGCCCAGATAGTACTAGATGTGTGACCTTGGGCAAGTCACTTAACTTTGTTTGGCTCAGTTTCCTCATCTATAAAATGAGCTGGAGAACAAAATGACAAACCACTCCAGCATCTTTGCAAAAAGAAAAACCCATGGGGTAACAAAGTGTCAGGCATGACTGAAATGATTGAACAACACATATCTATATCCATATTTGTACCCATAATACGGTATATTATGGAAACATGGTGTTTCCCTAAATAGGATGTAAGCTCCTTGACAGCAGGAACTCTTCACTTTTGTCTTTGTTCCCTTTGTGCCTAACACAGTGCCTGGCACACAGTGGGTGCTTAGTAAATTCTTGTTTATTGGTTAATTGGAATGAGGTTGAGGTAGAGTTACTCACAGTGCAATGCTATCTATTCTCCTTCTTCATTGTGAAGTACAGAAACAGTGATTGGCTCTGGGTGATATGCCTTGACTTCTGACCAAACCTTTGCCTCCCCCACCTCCCCAAACCAATCTGATCATGAAGAAAATAAAATTTACTAGCATAAGAAACAGTCATGTTTATTGATTAGAACATGGTATAAAATTACAAGGATCTAGAGACGACCTTGGGCAAGGGCAGCTGGGTGGGACATGCAGTGCTGGGCGTTGGGGTAGGAGGAAATGCTGCTACAGAGAGCACTAGTGTGTGCCATAGGTCATACCATAGTCCAGTTTATCCCCTCCTTTTCCTCCCAGGAAAGATGGAGGACTAAATTGCCATCATGGATGCTAGGCAGAGAACTGTGTAAATGGCCCTTGTGTGTGGAAACATCAAAGGAATTTGGGTCATGAGAATATGTCATTTTTAATCAACCGAACCCACCCTCAAAGGACTGGAAAGAGAATCAATCTGATGCTGGTTTTCTGAATATAGCCCTGGTTTTGCCTTACTGCACAAATTTTTGTTTTTTAGTTTAAATGAAAGGGCATGTTGGTACAGGATGACATTGAAGGATGAGCTGAGTAGTTTCCACGCACAGCAGGCAAACAGCAGAGCAAGCTCACCACTCAGTGCTCCTGGCATCATTGAGTGTGGGAGCCTTTGAGTTGGGGGCATGTGGGAGCACACACAGATTACTGTGCACTAGCAATAAAGCTTTGAGCAGAGGGATCTGTCCATGGTGGCAGTGGCCTGAAGAGATTCACATGCTTTTGAAATGAAATAAAGTCCCATCATTGTCTCTTGAGAAACAGAAGAAAGAATAGGCAGGCTTCTTAGCATTCTGAGACCGTGGCAGGTGGTGGGTGTCCATAGGAATTATCCAGTGGTAAATGCTCCCAAAGTTCTTCTTTAAAAGCTTTTCTGCTCAGAGTTGGTGTGGAAAATCTGAACTGGGGACTGCTCAGTTTCTAGAGTTTGTTTGTTTTTCCTGGTACAATGTCTCTGACATCCAGATGTCTCACTCACTAACTTATGATTACATGACATTTTCAAAGAGTTGAAGGGATCTCATGATGTTGTCATCCTGCACAGGGAGGCAAGGGGAAGATAAAGAGAGTTAATGAGAAATCACCACATGAGGAATTGGTGACATATCCTTTGGGGGCAGCTCCAAACAGCTTTACATCTTTTCTTTCATTAGCTTCCTAGTTTCCTCTCCTTTGTGAGACAAAAAGGACAAGATTGTCAGGTCTATTTTTTATAGAGAAACTGTGGCTCAGAGTGGGGCAGGGACTGGGTGAATGTATGAAAGGGGAGGGGTGGTGGTTAGAATTGGCAGGACCATGAGGCACTCTGAAATTCCTTTTTTTGGGGGGGGGAATGTCTAAGACTTCTGTGAAATTGACAGATCCCAAATCCAGTTCACATTCTCAGAAAGAAACCTGCCATGTGTTTACATGGGAATGGAAGGGCAAAGTGGGGCCCAGAAAGTTAAAAAATCTTTAAAGAAAGGGGGTACCTATATTTTGAAATGTAATTGGGGAAAAATAAAAATATTACATACATATATATTTTTTAAAAGACAGGAAGTATATAGTCTAGCCTTTTGGAGAAAACTAAGCATAGTAAAGCATGCAGTGAGACCTTAAAAGTTGATGCCTTGAAACTGCTATGGACTATTGAGTATGTTTGAAAGCCACTGAAATGTACAGTTTTGCATTTCTTTATATCCCCAGCACTTAGCACAGTGCCTGGCATATAGTAAGCATTTAATAAATGCCTGTTTACTGACTAACTAATGACTACACTGACTGGGAACCACATAGGCCAGTCATTCTTCCTTAAAGTGAAGTCTGAGAAGTTCCTGAATCTACTCAAAACATGAGTGCACAATTATCATCAGTTCATTGTATCTGTAGGCAGTCTGTGGGCTAGTGGTTTGGGCACAGATCTGGCTGTACGTGGAGCTTCTTTCTGTTTGTTTTCAGGGGGAAGATTGTTTTTTTTCTTTTCAGCGTATCATAACACGTACAGCACTAAATTGCCCTCTCAGAGCTCTTACGTGCCCCTATATGCATATTCTGTTCATCCTGCCACTGTTTGGAAGGACCAAACACAGACAGCAGCTCCCCTCTTTTCTTCCTATTGGAGCCCAAAGAATCCCCAAACCCTCATCAAGTGTCACTTATGAAAATTCCCCTCACCTCTTGACAGGATTCAAGAAATTCATCTAAAGTCACAACACCATCTTTGTTCTTGTCCATTTTCTGAAAGATACAACAGGAAGTAAGTCACAGAACACCACCCCCGACCTGTTTCTTTGCTCCTAACATATTTTTAAAAAACAGCGTACAAAGGAGTAAGGTGTCAGCTTCCCATAGGCCAGACTGCTGGAAAAGGCCCTGGTGTAGGTCCCTATGCAAAGGGTCATTGCGTATCTTATAGACGATGTACTGCCGGAGAAAGGAACAAAATTTGGAAGGTGTAGCTCACTGCAAAACCATGTCATCCCATGCCAACCAACTCTCACTATTGCTTGGTAGGGACTCCTTGGTCTTCTTTTCCCTCACAGAGGCTGTTCTAGACCAGATCCTTAAAATGCTCAGCTTTCTTAAACTCCCTCTTTCTTAAAATTCTGTGTCTCTCAGCCTCACTCTCAGTGGATGGCCTAACCTTTTTTTACAGAAAAGATTGAGGCTCTCTGTCTCATAGACACTCATTTTCCCCTTTAGTCTCAGAGGAAGTGCTACTATCTAGTTCTCACCTCTCTCCAGGACCTATTGCCCATAGCTATCAATCTAATCCATCAACAGTATTTATTGAAAAACTAATACGTGCCCCTCTCCCTTTAGCATTTTCAATCTCTTCCCCACTTCAGAGGCCTTTCCCCTTCTCTCTTCAAACATACATAGGTCATCTCTATCCTATGACAAAAATCATTTGACTCTATTTCCTTTTTTAGCTATTTTTTCTTTGCTGTAACTACAAAGTTCTGTTGATTTTTTTTCCTTTTGAAATGTCTCTTGAATTCAACCCTTCTCTGATTCTACTGCTACCACCCTCGTCCAGGCCCTCTTCATTTTCCCCACAGATTAATGTAAGAGGGTCCCAACTTATCTCCATGTATTTTAACCCTGCAAAAATGCCTTTCTACTACTACCAGATTCATTTCTCTAAAGTAAGCAATTTCATTGTTACTTAAATCCTAAAGGACCTAAAGATCTTTGTTTACCAAATCAAATCTAAATTCCTAGATCTAGCCTTCAGAACCCTCTGTAAATGAATGCTACACACATAGCAAATCGGTTTCTCTCTACTCCTTAATAGACAGTATCGTATAATGGATAAAGCACTGGATATGGGGTCAGGGGACCTATTTGAAATCCTGCCTCAAGTCATGTGATATCTCAGAGCTTTAGTTTCTTCAGTTATAAAATGGGAAAACTAATATCTGTACTCTCTACCTTAGGTAGCAGTTCTTCAGAAAGTGTTTCACAAGCCAAGTTATTATTATTATTGAATTGATCAATCAAAAGGCATTGTTAAGAACTTACTATGTGCCAAGCACAGAGCTAAGCACTGGGGGGTACAAAGATAAAATTGAAACAGTATGCCCTCAAGGGGCTTACATTCTAACAGGAGAGAGACAAGAAGTATATATTCGAGAATATGTAGAATATATTATAAATGAATACAAGGCAGTTTTTGAATGGAGAGCATTAGCAGTTGTATGTATTTGTTGAATGTAGTGGAGACCAAGAAAGGCTTCATTTTTAACATGAACCCACTTACCAGCAAATCTCACCATCATTATTAGCTCTTTCTCCCAGCTTCAGTACTTCTATGAATTGTAAACTTATTAGCGGGGTTTCCTTCTATGGGTACAACTCACAACCCATCCATAACTTTGAATCCTATGAGATTCCTGCCTACCTCCTACCATAAATCTCAGTGTGCTAGGGGTTTTCCTCCAGCTCCTTTGGTGCTACAGCACATGGGGACTGATGGAGCATATGGGCTGTCCATCTGTTATTCCCTTGCTTTTGCTACATGGCTAACCTTTCTTTTCTGATGCTACTTTGCTTTGGTGAATTTTTAAATTTCACTTCTGATGTGTAATTCTTGGTTGGAAATATGCTAGAGAAAATTTCTCTCTGAAAGGGGTTCCCCTTTCAGATGTGGATGGTTTCCTAGGGGAAAGGGGGAGAAACAAGGACAAATAGAGAAACTCAATAAAAACCACAACAGTCCCATAGAGAAAAGGAAATTACCTAAAATAAAGATGGCTAAAGTTTTTTGTTTCCCAGCATCTAATTTATATATGGCTGACACATGGACTTTATAGTTAATAGCTGGGAAACAGTGGTCCCTAGAACTGTTTGGTGACTATAGGACAAATGTACATTGCCTAGTTATGTTGTAGATTGGATGACAGAAATATGGATTTTGGTTTATCACCATGAGATAGAAATGAGCCATCTTATTGAATGAACGGCCCTGTATTAAACTGGTAGAGTACTTTAAGGCTCACAGAAAACTCAGAGATCAGAAAACTGAAGCTCAGAGTAGAGCTGATCTTAGGAGAGATCTCCAGTAGGATCTGAGAAAAAGCCTTGCTACCGGTTGCTTGGAAGAGCTGAATGGGTGAAGGAATGGCTTAGTCTTTGCAGTTTCGAAGAGCTAATTGAAGAAGGTTTTACTCATATTGTTACCTGCTTCAATGAGATGGAAACTCCTCATAGCCCAGCCCAGGGACCCACCTTGTACAAGATCTATACATCCCAGCGTTACTATTTCTGCTTTTGCTAAAAGACAGAAATGCTACCTTAGCAGTCCAGAAGAGAAACAATGTGAGTGGACCAGCAAGCAGAGATGTGTCTCCACCTAGCAGGACTGCTGAGATGTTGAGAAGAGCAATACCCTGAGTTAGGCTGCATAGCTCTTGACTTGGCCTCATCATTTGTTTACTGGCTGATGTGGTTTACATTTCTCTACTCTCTAAGGCAAGTACCAAACTCTTGAATACAGATAAAGTGTTAGACTTGGAATCAGTAGACCAGGGTTTGAATCCTGCCCAAGATACTTACTAGATGGTTTAAACCAATATCTCTTGGTTACCTCTTTGTAGTAATTGATTTACATGCATTAAAATTCTGAAGAAATTGTGATAGTCTGCTGATGTCTGTTCTTTTATCTGTTTTTTTTAATCAAAATTTGGTATTAGTTCTGATCATTGCTCTGATAAGTCAGTGATTTCACTGTACACAGATATCTAGAAATAACTTCCACAGTGGTATCTAGCTGTTTACTATCCATTAAGATAGTTCATTACTTTTTGTGATTTGATATTTGTCGTGTCTAGTCCCAAACACTTTCTCAAAGAAAGTATTTGTGACATGTGTATGTGAGGATCTCATATATTCTACATTTGGCCTCTCTTGTTTCTTGATCTTGACATTTACTTTCTAATGTACTTTTATCATTTTTTCCTCTGCTTACCTTTTCATTGAAATCACCAAGTACTAAGGTATATGGAGGCGATTTAATTTGAAGGGTCCTATTAAGTTCTTCATAAAATGACTCTACTTCTTCATTCTCTACAACAAATATATGCATTTAGACTGCATTTATTTTTGTGGTTGTCTTTTTTCAAATTCTCATCCTGTTCACTTCTCTGTGACACGACCAAATGTCCTATGAAATAAGGTTTCTTATTATTTTTAGATGAAAGATAAAGTCAGTTGCTTTATCTGCTTCTCCAAGGGGAACCTGTGAGCTATATCCTTCTATTTAATGACAACGTTCTTTGGTCTGATCTGGTTTATGGTAAGAGGACAGGTAGGTGATGCAATGGATAGAGTACCAGGCCTAGAGTCAGGAAGACTCATCTTCCTGAGTTCAAATCCAGCCTCAGACACTTCTATCTGTGTGACCCTGGCCAGGTCACTTAACCTTGTTCACCTCAATTTCTTCATCTGTAAAATGAGCTGGAGAAGGAAATGGCAAACCACTCCAGTATCTTTGCCAAGAAGATCCCAAATGGGGTCATGAAGAGTCAGACATGACTGAAAAAAATTATAGTAAGAATGATGATATTCATATGATTAAGTTTTTCCACTAATGCATTAAGTCATTAGTCATTAGACAAGGGTCTCACATTTAAATTGCCAGCTGTTAAGTTAATATTTAAAATTGGACTAAAAATTGTGTTTCTTAGCTCCTTCTTCCACCTTTTCTACTACTAAGCCACTGTCACTGCAAATGTTGTTGAGAGTTATGCAGGAAAGGGGAAAATTCTGTATTTTTCTTTGTTTCATGGATCACCATGACCAAAGAATTGTTCACCAAGTGGCCAGCCTACCGATATTGAGCAATTGCTACTTAGCGAGGCTGATCCTTGGAAAAGAGGTACCATCTGTCACTAGAACCATGCTTGGAACCTTTCCAAAAGGGTGGAACCTTTCAGGGTCTCTGCAGTGAGCCACAAGAGGGCAGACACTGCTTCTCACACTTCTCTTGGGATCCTCTCAGGCTTACTTAGTACAAGAGTATGGCAGAGTAGGCACTCAATATTTACTTGTCTATTGATTACAATGATAAGCCATTGGAGACTACCATAGCCTTTGCTTAGCTTGTGTTAAGGACACTAGGAATGTGGGCTTACCTGGAAAAATACATCTACGTGTTGTCTTGGAGTGTCGTCTTTGAGCACAGGATAAGTGTATTTCCCCATCATGTCATAAATGGCCTTGACGATATCTATCATCTCCTGGAGCGGGAGCACATAAACACAGAACATGGGAGCTGAGATGGTAAATCGGAGCAGGGTACGTTGTTTCACCTTGTTTGGCATGGACTATGGCTTCCTGTTTGTTTTGCCACAAGAAATGGGCAGACAGAAGCATCCCTTGTGGAGATCAATGTTGCCTCCTGTTTTGACTGGGGATGATTATGGAAATAGGGCTCCTGAGAGGGAAGCTCTGAGAACCTTTCCTTTCCTATTGGCCTCCTAGACTCAATGGAATGGATTGCTATCCCCTTTCCTTGCATAATTTTCCTGGACAGGGAGGAGGGGGTGGGGAATCCTCTGGGCATATCTAGAAAAATAGGGAAACCTTGTTCTGTTGTGATAGACTTGAACTGAATGAAATATCAGCTCAGTTTGGGGAATTGTCTAACATTTTGCTTTTTGTTTTGGTTCAGCCATTTCAGAAAATATACAGGTTATATTATTGGCTTGAACTGAGTCTTTAAGGTTTTTTGGCTAAGAACTTAAAAAAATGATAAGAAGGGCCAAAGCTAGGGAGTTTGGGGCCTAGATGTGGAGACAGAGGGAGAGTCTCACCAGTTTGGTCCCAGGAAAGATGTGGGGAAAGTCTGGAAGGGGCTATGTTTTACAGGCTGATTGTAGGTATATGAACCTGAGTGCTTTTTTAGCACCAGCTAATGGAGTTAACCTTCTCTCTTACCACCTACTTTCCTTCCTTTGTTAACACTCTAAACACTAGCAACACTGGGCTCCACCCTCCCCAAAGGGGGCTAAGGTGGTCACCTCAACTGTCATGCTCTGAGGACATACTCTGTCAACAGCCATATATTAATATCCATTTGCAAAGTTGAACAATTCAAACACTCTAATGGATTGCATATGTCTTAAGGAAAGAAGAATTAAGATTAGGAAAAATAAAGACATATTTAATAGTTACAACAAATAATAAAAACTATGATGTAGCACCAGGCTAGATTCAGGGAAGAGAAATATTTCAAAATAAAAATTCAGCCTTTTTTAATGTGGAAAACTTTCTTCTTTTTCTTTCTTTATTGAATTGTTTTGACTTTTCAAGATGATGTCTATGCCTTCCTAAAGCTGAACTCTGACTTCCATTGATAGTTGATCATGGCCACAATCATGACAAAGGTCAAGTTGGCTTCTTTTCTCTCTTCTCTTGTTCTTATTTCTTATTTCTTCTCAGTGTCACACTCTTCTCTACCATCCAACTTCCCTCTCACCATTAAAATTTACCTTCTCCTCTTCTAGCTAGATGGTACAGTAAGTAGAGTGCTGGGCCTAGAGTCAAGAAGACTCCTCTTCCTGAGTTCAAATCTGGCCTCAGACACTTAATAGCTGTGTGACCCTGGCCAAGTCACTTAACCCTGTTTACCTCAGTTTCCTCAACCGTAAAATGAGGTGGAGAAGGAAATGGCCAACCACTCCAGTATCTCTGTCAAGAAAACCCTAAATAGAGTCACAAAGAGTCAGGCATGACTGGGCAACAGCTTCCATTTCCCTTTTGCTATAGGAAGGCAAGCTGATCAGTTGAATTCCCAGTAAATTGCCAATTCAGCATGTTATTCCTCCCAAAGGCATTTGCATATTAGCAGCTAGACTCTTAAAAACACAAGACTTTAATGCAAAGAAATAAATTTCTAATGATAGAATTTTAGGCATGGGGGTAAGTGAAGGAAGGCAGATATTTGAATCAGGGTAATTTTCCTTGTGCCCCTAAAATGATTTAATCCACCACTTTCTTCACCTGCATTAGACAACCTCACTTACAGTTTTTTGACATTCATATCATGCACTGAATTACTTACTCATTCTCTGTGTTTAACTGGTACCTTCCCTAATCCAAACCCCAGATGTGGTAACCTTCTCTCTCTCAGCCTTTTCCCACTCCCAACCCCAAGTCTTGGTCAAGGTGGGTGGGGTGGGATGAAAGGTTTGCTTCACGTGGGTTGACCTAGTAGAGGCTCCATAAAGCCCTGATTAGATGATTGATTGGTTATGGTCACAACTAGTGTTACACTACCCACCCAAGCTATCCTTTTTCAAGCATACTTAATTGTGTCAGTATCTCAATTATTTATAGAGTATTTTAAAATTTAAATGGGAAGCTCTCTCAAACCAAATGAGATGCTGGTTCACTGTTTGGTAAATAAATGTTGGGGATTCAGTGTTTTGGGGGTTCATTTTGAGGTTAATTCTGTAAATGTTGTCTATTCTGGCATTTGACTCATGATTTGTTTAAACTCCTGCTTTTAAAAGGAAGGCAGGCACATAGGAAGGGAATTTAGTTCTGGGTCTGCCACTCAGTACCCATGTGACCTTGAGTAAAACATTTAATTTCTCTAAAGCTGAGTTTCTTCCTCCTAAAATATCAAAAATAATATCTGTCTCACTTATCCTACAGACTTCTTGCGAGGATGAAGTAGGATAACGGATGAAAATGTACTTTGTAAATCGTTAAAGCATTGTTGTTTTTGTTCAGTCTTTTCAGTCACGTCTGTGACCCTATCTGGGGTTTTCTTGGCAAAGGTATTGGGATGGTTTGCTATTTCCTTCTCCAGTTCATTTTATAGATGAGGAAACTGAGCCAAACAGGGTTAAATGACTTGCCCAGGGTCACACAGTTGGTAACTGTTTGATACCACATTTGAACTCAAGAAGATAAGACTTCTTGACTCCAGGCCTGATGCTATTCACTACATCACCTAGCTGCCCTTAAAGCACTGCATACTATAGAATGATGTGACAGCTGTGTCTCATTTCTCATGACTCCACAGTAGCACATCTCTGCATTGCTCCAGCTACATCTCTGGATACAGACATAGCCCGATTTAGCTTAGGACCCCATGTGTGGCATCTTGTAGAAACCCAGAGGGCCTGACTACATCCTGGCCCATGGGAGAAAGACTCTTTCTCCATTTGACCATTTTAAAGGATTCTGTCTAAAACTAAAGTTTTCTGAAGTATAAATAATGGTAACCTTGAGGGCAAACACCCATTCCATCATAGAAGAGAAGATTAAAGCTGTGCAGCTTCACAGGAACCCTAGATTTGGAGAAGAGAAGATGTCTAAGCATATTGAGAAAGAATAAAGAAGATCTGGTAGGCAAACATATTGAAGGGAAAGTCAGCCCAAGAAGGATAGAAAGTTCTGCTATTCTGACAAAATGAATGGAGATCATTCTGGTGTGGTAGAAGGAGGTATATGCTGCCTGCAGAGACCAGGGTAGATGCCGAGGGACTTCATCAACAATCATGGTTTCAAAAGTCATGTATAGGAAGTGGGAACAAGAGTAAGTTATTGAGGTGAATAGAAAAGGGTGTGGTCCCATGGGAATTGTGTCAGGAACATTCAAACTCAGGGCAAACTGAGGCTAGTGAGAAATGAATTCTAAGAATGACAAAACTATTGCTCCAGTTAGACAGGATCATGACAATGGACTATGGTGAGAAGGCTGAAGTACTCAACTCTTACTTTGTCTCTCTTTCTTTTCTAAGGAGAATGATATTTGGACTAGGAAGGAGTGGAAAAAAATATTTAACAGGGGCATGGCAACCTAAGATAAGAGAAGGGACAGTCTGCCTGTAGCTCTCCTCAGTGAAATTTCCAGGACAAACTATGTCCTAAAGTTCTAAAATAATTGGAAAGTATAATTGCTAAGATATTACCAATCATCTTGGAAAGCTCTTGGAGAATAGGGAAAGTGTTACAGGCCTGCACAAGAGCAAAAGAAAAGCAAAAAGAAAAAGAGTATATTCTGCAAGCTATAGACTAATGTGCTTAACTTCTTTTACTGGTAAAATCCTAGAATACATTATTAAAGAATTGGGCACATAGAAAAAGAAATAGTGATCAGTAGCAGTCAGTCAGTCAATTAACACGTATTAAACACCTATTATGTGTCAAACACTATGCTTAGTGCTAGGGAAAAGGAAGGCAAAAGACAGTGCCTGCCCTCAAGGAGCTCAGAATCTAATGACTAAAAGCCAGCATGGTTTCATAAAGAAGAAGTCACACCAGACTAATCTCACTTTTTTTTTTGTAGGGTAATTAGACTGGTAGATGAGGTGAATACCATAGAGATTTCTGTAAAGCATTTTTTCAAAGTTTCTCATATTATATTTATGGATGAGATATAAGATATTGACTAGATGACAGTACAATTAGATGGATTTGAAACTAATTGAATAAGTGGACCTAAAGAGTAGTCATTAATGAATTGATATCATCTTGGAGAGAGATCTTTAGTAGAATGCTTCAGGTCTGTCCTCAGCCCTGTACCCTCCAACATTTTCTTTGTGATAAATTAAAGGCACAGAAGGCTTGCCTGCCAAATGTTCCAGTGACACAAAGTTTGGAAGGAAAGTTAACATTCTGGATGATAGAATTCCATTTGGAGATTTCCACAGGTTAGACCAATTGGCCAAAATAGGTATAAGTGAAAAATAGCTTGGGGGAGGCATGGCTAGACAACAGTCTGTGCAAAATATCTTCAGTCTCAAGTCTCCTGGTAGCCAAAAAAGCCAGTGTAATTCTTGAGAGACACATAATATCCAGAAAGAGGGAATGTTAAGGGATCATAGAACTAGAACTAGCAGGCATCTCAGAGGCCATCCAGTTCAGTTTTCTCACTTTACATATGGGGAAAGTGTAGACCTAGGAGGTTATGACTTGCTCAATATCCTGCAGGTAGCAAGCATCAGGCAAAACTTGAACCCTGGTCTTCTGGTTCCAGAACCAGTGCTCTGTCTATAGTAATATATCTACAACATTCTTTCTGGGGCAGGTCACTTCTGGAGAATTGTGTTCAGTTCTAGGCACCATGTTTTAAATGGAATTTGTCCAAAAAAGGACTGGGATCTTGAAAGGACTGGTTGAAGGACCAGGGAATGTGTAGTTTAGTGAAGAGCTGAGCGAGGATATGATTGCTGTCTTCAAGCATTTCAGTGTCTTGCTGTGGACAAAGGTTAGACTTGCTTCACTTCCTTGACCCAAAAGGCAAAGATAGAAGCAATGTGTGATGTAATAGATAGACTACTGAGTCTGGAGTAGGGAAGATCTGGCCTCAGATGCTTACTAGCTGTGTGACCTTGGGCAAATCTCTGTTTGCCTCAGTTTCCCCAACTATAAAATAGGGATAGTAGTATCATCTACCTTGTGGTTATGATAATTAAATGAGATATCTGTAAAGCATTTAGCATGGTGCCTGGTGTACAGCTGGCATTGTAGAAATGCTAGCTACTATTATTATTAGTTGCTAAGAAGAAAATACAGGCTTGATGTAGACAGGAAAAGCTTCCTAACAATTAGAGCTGTGTGAAAGTGGAAAGGAAGGTCTTGACCAGAAGTGAGCTCTTCCGTAAGAAAAAATCTCCTAGTAGAAGTTGCAGGATCACTCATCAGGGATCTTGTACAAGTGATTCTTGGTCAGGTATGGCCCCTGAGTTCTGTCCTCCAGACAAAACACCCCTAGTTCTTTCAAATGATTTTCACATTGCATATTTCTCAATCATTTGTCCTCTTCTGAGTTCTTCCCAAGGTACGTATGCCTTTACTAAAATGGAGCAGTAGAAAGAGCCTTGGATTTGGAGTCAGAGGCTTTGAATTCAAATCCTAACTCTGCTGTGTGACCTTAGGCTTAAGTCCCTTTTCTGGGCCTCAGTTTCCTCATCTGTAGAGTGAGGAAGGTTGGGTTCAATGGTTTTTGAAGTCTCTTCTGGCAACAATGATTCTTGTTTAGCAAATCTATTTAGAATCAATAATGAAGTTTCCTGTAAAAATTAGAGCCAGGAGGACCTTCAAGGCCATCTAGTTCAAACCTCTCATTGTACAGATGAGGAAGCTGAGGTCCAGAGAGAGGAAATTACTTGTTCAAGGTCACCCAAGCAGTATGTAGCAAAGGTACTTGTAGGGTCCCAATTGGGAAAAAGCCATAAAATATAGTAATAAGTGAAAAGCAATAAAGACTTAAACTCTGTGAAAGGTGGAAGTCTGAACATGGTAACCTGTTAACAATCCTAACTTGGATGCTGAATTATATTTTAGACACTGAATCGTAACTTAAGATACTATGACCTATGAAAGCTATAACAAAAATATTGTGACCTATATGTAACTAGGACATGATCAATACACAGACTTATGTTTGGGTATAACATTGGCATAATCCCCTAGCTCATTACTAAGCAGGAAACCAAAAATGTCCACCAATCAGCAGTGATGCACTCTATAGTGCCTCCTCCCTTTGTTTTCTATAATTACCATGAGGATTTTGGGGTTCTTAGCAGGGATCCACTGAACTGTCTGGCCACTGCCCCAGACCAAAGAGTGCACCTGTTTTGTAAGTATTCATGATGATCGATTAAACTACTAACTATAATCAGTCCGGAGATACTTGGCCTCTTCCTCTGGTATCAAAAGAACATCCCACGGTGATAGGGGAGGTACAGGGTTCCCCAGCCAGGGATATTCCGGACCTTACAGTACCTTAGTGTATAAATCTCAACTCAGGTTCACCTCAGGCATGACCATCAGAGATAAGAAAGTCCAGTTGCCTCTCTTAGCAGGACATTTCATCCAGCTCTTCATCAAGAGACTTCTTGTTCATTTTGGAGAAAGATGCAGAGAAAGGGGGATTTCTTCCTATTTTGCAGGAATAGGTAGATAGGGGTGGTTGAAAGCAATATAATATGGCACTGGAAGAGCCAGGATTAGGATTTGGTGAAATGGAGCCCCAGCCCAATGTGTTTTTCTTGGATTTAGCCTGACTTTTGATAGAACATTATCTCTTAAGATACTGATAAGGCCAAGCCGTCCTGAAATGTGTTTCCATGCTATAGAGAATTCAGCCTCCAGACAGGAAGACAGAGTTTCTTCTAATCACTTTGACTTTTTTCCAGTTGAGCTTTGGCATATTAAAACATATTTCTAATCATTTTGATTTAGAAATGAATCTATGACAATGGAATTTTCCCTCTGTGTGTGTGTCTGTTATCTCACTTTCTTCCTGGGCTTGACGATTCCACTATTGTGAGCAAAGGCCCTTTTTGTTGGACTAATCTTTGTTGGGTGAATAGGGAGAGAGAGATGGAAAGATACAGCAGAAAAAAGGGAAGTGCTTCTGCCTGAGCATTCATGAATAATGGCTTTATTTTCCTTTGTCATGAATAGTAGCGGAAAGGCACCAGGCCCATCGCAGCTGATTTAATAACAAGATAATTATGCCACATTGTAAGTATTCAGAGGCAGAATTTAAAGTAGGACATTGTGATTTCTTTCCTAGAGAATATCTCATGTGAGCAGGATTATGCTTCATAGAAAACCACAGAAAATCCTTTCATATTCTTTCTGGGCCTATTCTATTGCCTGACCCTTAAATAGGAGCTAAAAAAAGGTAAAGGCCCAGAGACTGATTTCTTCTGGACCTTGGTTTAAGCAGAATACAGATCCTTCCATTTATCTATGGTATAATGGAAAAGGATCTTGGACTTTACATCAGGAGCCAGGCTGGTGTCCCATTTTTGCCACTTGCTAGATGTGCAAACTTAGGCAAGTGACTCCTTTTTACTGTGGGTTTTAGTTTTCTTATCTGTAAAATGAGATAATCGATTAAAAGCTAAAAGGTCCATAGGGTCATGGATCTAGAAGAAGAAACAATAGAGGTCATCTAATTCAACTCCCTCATTTGAGAGATGAATTTGAGACCCAGAGAGGTGAAGATGCCAGTTATATAGGTAGTAAGTGGCAGCTGGGGCAGCTAGGTGGCGCCATAGTGCACAGAGTGCTGGGCCTGGAGTCAGGAAGATTCATCTTCCTGAGTTTAACTTTGGCCTCAGACACGTACTGGCTGTGTGACCGTGGGCAAGTCACTTAACCCTGTTTGCCTCAGTTTCCTCATCTGTAAAATAAGCTGTAGAAAGAAATGGCAAATCATGATAGTATCTTTGCCGAGAAAACCCCAAATGGGGTCACAAAGACTCTAACAAGATGAAACGACTGAATGGCACAAGTGGTACAGCTTAGATTTGAACCCAGACCTTCTGACTCCAAATACAGCATGCTTTCCATCCCCCCACATTACCCCAGCTACTTGCATGAAGCATGGATATTGTGAGGATGAAAGGGCGTCATGTATGGAAAAGTGTATGTGAAACTTGGAAGCATTGTACACATATAAGGGATTATTTACCATACTTTTTATTGGCTCCCTTGGCTAGCTTTATAAATAGGTGGAACAAGTGGTTGCCAATGAAATGTAAGTTTGAGATCATTCAGAAATAAGGTTTCCCCACCCACTAGTTGCTTGCCTGAAATCCCACCATTAATAACTGATTTCTTTAGCCTCTATTAAAATCATGGAATCACAGATTTAGAACCAGAAAGGACCTGAGAGGTCACCTAAGTGAGGAACGTAAATCATAAGATAAATTGTCCTAAGTCACAAAGGTACATGTAGCAGAGCTGGTATTTGGATCCAGGTCCTTGGATTCTAAATCCAGGGTTTCCCCCACTACATCCCACTCTCTCTTGATGCAAATCAACCTGGGAAGACACCACTTTAAGCTGATTACACTAAGGTATAAATGAGTCTCTGAGATCCTTGTCTGAACTCAGGTTGTTATCATGGGGGAGAAGAAGGGAGAGGGATAAATAACTTTTATCGGATTGCTTGTGGGGGGGGAGGGAAAGATAGAATTTGGAACTCAGAACTAAAAAAAACCCTGAATGTTAAAGATTGTTTTTACATGTAATTGGAGGGGAAAATAAAATGTTATTTTTCAAAAGGGGGTTGGGGTGAGGAGGGCTGGGAGGTGGGAAGACAAAGTTTGCACATTTTCCAAGAGCCCGCTCTCTTCTCCCCAAAAGGGCATCCCCTTCTCTTGCCGATCCTGCTTAGGGCAGTTCTGCCTTCATAACCTTAGTTGTTTTACTTTTAATTAGGGGCTTATAAATTGTTAATCTTTAGTGCGAGACCTTCTCCCAGTTGAAGTCCCTGCCCCTGGGTCCCAGCATACTCACCTCTTTATTGATATAGCCGTCCTTATTGATGTCATACAAATTGAATGTCCACCTCAGTTTCTCCTGGACGGTTCCTCTCAGCAAGATCGACAGAGCAGTTACAAAATCCTGTTAAGGGGCGGGAGCCACCAGAAAAGCAGCACTTGAAACCAGGAAAGCACAGTGATATGCATGTTACTGAGCAGGCATTCAGTGTTTGCTAAACGAATGCATGAACCGATGACCAAATGATTCTTGGGGGAAAACCCATCTTTGGGGCAGCCCTTGTGACCCTGAATCCATTTTCTATTTGTATCCTTGATGCTTAGCACGGTGCTTTGCACATAATAACTGCTTAATAAGTACTTTTTCATTCATTCATTCATTCATGGATCAGAACAACTCAGTTTACTGGAGGGAGTCCTCACTTTCTGAGTTAAGAAAAGATATCCATCCATGCTTCATTTGTGAGAGGGAAGACCTACATTAATAATAAGAACAAACGTTATGACCGTTTACTTTTACTTTTTCATGCCTTACAATTCTCAAAGCATATATGTTACTATCTCATTTAATCCTTGTAATAGCCCTGTGAGCTACTTAGGGTAAATATTATGATATCCATTTTACAGGTCTGTAGGATCACAGATCAAAAACTAGAGGGGAATCTTGTAGGCCAACTAGTCCAATCCCCATTTTATAGATGAGAAAACGGAGGCCCAGGGAAGGAACATGCCAGTATACACAGGTAATATCAGATAAAGGACTTGAACCCATGTCTGGTGTACTGTCCCATGGAGCCTTCTACGATGGAGAAAAGAAGATTTAGGGAGAGATATGATAACTGTCTTCAATATTTGAAGAGCTGTTGTGTGGGAGAATGATTAGATGTTTCCTTGGCCCCAGAAGACATAAATAAGAGTAATGGGAAGAAGTAGCAGACAGGCAAATTTAGGCTCAATGAAAGGAAAAACTCCAACAATTAGAACTACCTAAAAGGGTAATTGGCTGCCCTGGGAGACAGTCCATTTCTCCTCACCTTTAGGTCTCCAAGTATAGGCTGGATGATTATTTAATTTGGGTCATTCTTGGTTGAGTATGGGCTGAATTAGATGGTGTTGAGGATCCCTTTCAGATCTCAGATTCTGTGAAACTGAGGCTCAGAGGAACAAAATGATTTGCCAAGGATCATATAGCTGGTTAGTGCCAAGACCGGCAGTCAAACCGAGAGTTTCTAGCTCCGTGTCCAATATTCTTTCTATCACACCAAGTTTCTGGGTTGAGGTTAGGGATGGATTTCTTATGTGTGTGTACCAAAGGTAGTCATTGGGAGTTTTTTTTGGGGGGAGACAATTGGTGTTAAGTGACTTGCCCAGGGTCACACAGCTGGTAAGTGTCAAGTATCTGAATCCAGATTTGAACTCGTGACTAAAAGGCCGGTGCTCTATCCACTGCGCCATCAAGCACCCCTGTCCTTGTGATTTCAATAAGGCGTTGTCTGGTGTTAGGGCCAATGGAAAAGAGTTAGTCCTGTGAGCCTTTAGAAGGCTGTTGTTTGTCCTTTGTTTTTGAAGAAGACTAATGGCATCATGGGATGATGTTTGGACTTGCGTGTGAATTGGGTTTAAGTGAGGCAGAGCTGCATGAAGTCGTCAGCCTTACTCTCTCTTCCAGAGTCATCCAGATGGGAGTTTGAGCAAAAGGTGATAGGGCAGCCTAAGCATTCACTGCCTTAGAAGTCAAGAGAGTTCTAATCCCAACACTCTCACTAGGAAGTTGTGTTACCTTGGGCAAGTCATTTCACTTTATGGGACCTCAGATTCCTATTCTATAAAATGGGGAAGATTGGCTTGTGCATAAGATTCCTTTCAGTGGTAGAATTCTATGGTTCTAATTAATGACCATACCTCAAACTTTACAGAACCCGTCTGAGTGGTATCAAAGGCATTGAAGAGATAATGAGCATACATGCTTGCATCTGAAAAACAAGAAAGGGCATCTTTTTTAGGGGACTAAGGAAGACATAATACCACAAGAAATTGCTTTGGGAAGGCCCTTTCCCCTCATTATGAGCCTTTTGCTGTGAATATAACCCCCTGTATTTGCAAGGGAAGAGCTAAGGAACCAAGAGGACATGGCTTCTTACATGGTTCCGCTACAAGTTCCACACAAGAGGGCATGGGTGTGGAACCTGTAGAGTATCACACATATACCACAAGGCACCACACTTGGAGAATATCCCTTCCCAATGCGGAGAATAGTTGTGTATGACATATGATGGTCTGGGGTAAAATCTCTTTAAAACCTACAAAAAATTGCTTCTTTCTACCTCCCTCCACTCAGCTCAACTTACCTCCATGTGGGAAAAACTGGGAGTATATCTGTTTGAATGTTTCTTCATTAACCACCCCACTGGGACACTCCTGTTTGTGAGAAGAGAGAAAGAGTCTTTGTGTGCTCTCTGAATACGCCCTGCATAGATAACAGGCTGGGCAGATTGCATGTAGATTGGGACTTCTTCGCATTCATCAGGCTGGATTTTCATGCCAATCCTTGGGCAGACAAGTGTTGTGCTTGATGTTTCCAGCCTATATTGCATTAATCACAATGCATAATGGGGCCATTACTGATCCCTATAGGACAGGGTGGGTAAACAACTAAATACAATTAACAAACCTGCTTATGATGAAATCGCAAAGCCAAAGATACCAGGGAACTGTCAGGTTTTAGTGTTACTAAAGCAAGCAGTTTGGAGGTAGCCCAAGCATATTGACTAACTGGGGGTGGGGAGGGGAATTGGGGAGGATTGAGATAAAATGAGAGTAACATTTAAATGCGGGTGAAGTTTATCCTTGATATTCTTCTTTCTCCACCCCCTCCCTTTGTACCTCTATTTCCCCTCCTGAAAAAAACTGCACCCCCCCCCCCCCGGTAGTTAGCCTAATCCACTATCTAGGACTTTGGTGTTAGACATTAATCAAATTTAATGTTAGCACAATATTCCTGAATTTTAAGAATGGACTTTTGCAAGCCAAAAAGCTTTCAAGACTCTGTTTAGTGACAGAATTTGGGGCATACATTCAGGTGGTGGAGGAAATATCTGGGGCAGGAGAAAGGCAATTTCTGTGTCTCCACCTCCCCAAAGTCCTTTAGCTATGGCCAGCCTGGCAATGAGCCAGGCTGAACTGGTGATAGACTTTGCTAGGAGTCTTATGGCTGAAGCTTGGTAGGATCTTCTAGAACTTGCCCTCCCATGGCATAACCTTCCAGGACCACAGACTCACTTCTACCTCATACATAGGAGCAGGACTTCAATAGCAGATTCCCATAGAAGTATTTAACCCTAATTGAGGAGCCTCCTGGGATCACTGGGTTCTTACATTTTTAAAGCCTCTGTATAGGACTTGCAGCTCCCTCTTGGAGAAGTTGGTCTGTGCCTCAAGCTGCTCCAGTCCCTCAGGCCGATGGCACACCATGGTCATCTCTAGCTCATCCTCAATTTTATCTGGAAACAGAGGAGACAACATTGGAGTTGCTAGACTTTGGAGTCACTCCAGATTCATCAGAGTGCCTTCAGTATTCTAAGACTTCAAGGAATCCACGATCTGATAGTATCTGTAGCCTATTCTGATGGCAATCCATCTCAACAGCCTAGACATTATCTTCCAGTGCTGATGGGAGCTGTAACAAGTGTGGGTGGCTATCTTCCTTTTGATATTTGTGGATTGGAAGGAGGAAGGAAGGAAGGAGGAAGGGGGATTTTATTGGATATCCATAATGACTTTGGTGGGGAGACAAGGTGATATTGACTGAAGGGTAGCAAGTATTCTATGATGTCTATGAGTAGAGGTCCCAGGACTCTAGTGGTAATGCCTGTTGTAATCAGAAAGTTTCTGTTAACAAGTTTGGTCAATGTTAAGTAAGACCCTGGTCAGGAGGCATAATCTCTGGTATCCCTTCTGTTGGTACCTTGGACCCTTTGCTCATGTGCTCCTGCCCTCTGATTGTATATCCCCACCACACTCTAAGACCATCTTTGTTTCAGTCCATCCATACCAAGAGGAAACAAAAGCCTAGGATTGGAAGGGACCTCTGATGTCATCTAGTCCAACTCCACCCCTACCCCTTGTCCTTGCCTTATTTTCTATATGAGGAAACTGAGGCCTGGAGAGGTTAAATGACTTGTCTCATGTCACATAGGTAGTAAACATCTGCGGTGGGATTTGAAACCAGGTCTTCTGACTTCAAAGGCCTTTTCACTGTAACGTGACCTTACCCCATAAGAAAACAGGTTTTCTGTTTCTTCAGAATTTGACTGTACCCAATAGCCTTGAAAAAATCTCCCCAAATAAGTTGGCCTGGCTGTGTGACTGAAGCTTCTGCACATCCCTGGCTGACAAGTAAAGTGACAGGAATAATAATATCCCCACACCCACATAATGCTAATAAATAGAGGCAGATGATAAAAGATTTTAGAAATTTGTTAAGATTTCACTGTTTGGGACTCTAGTAATTGTAAGAGAAGTAGGGACATGCTCAGATTCAAGAAAGTTTTAAAAATAAATGCAACTTTTATTACTTTTAAGCAAGAATTTAAACTTAACTAATAAACTGGTAAGAATGTTTGTGATTACCATCTCCATTGTACATGAATGGATACTTCTGAAGTCTGGCAAGGTGACACATTGTTCTCTTAAAATGGATTAAATGTAACTTTCTACAACCTTATTTACACTATTAGTTTGTATTCTGCATGTAGAAAGGACACAGTAATAATTATAATAACTAACATTTTTATAGTGCTTAATATGTGTCAGTCACTGCGCTAAGCACCTTACAATTATCTCATTTCATCCTCACAACAGATAGCAGGTGCTATTATTATCCCTATTTTTCTATTGAGGAAACTGAGGCAGAGAAAGATTAAATGACTTGCCCAGAGTTCCACATCTAGTGTCTGTGATTGGATTTGAACTCAGATCTTCCCAAATCCCAGCCTGGCTTTCTATCTACTGTGCCACCTAGCTGCCCCTGTAGTTATACAGTGCCAATGCAGATTAATCCAAATTCCAAATGAACAGAGTACAGATTAATGAAGTTTTATTGTGGGGAAGAATAACTATCTTTCTTAGTACAAATAACCTTAGAAGAAGACAGAGGATTGAATGTAAACAGAAGTAACTGCCATCTCACTAAATGCTGTGGGCTGAGTAGGACCACTGCCTGAAGAGAAATAAGCATCTTCCTCTGAGTATTTCCAGTAGACTTTCTATGAATTTCCTACACTAAAGAAATTTGCTACCTAAACTCTCTCTGATAGCTGTTGTATGAACATTACCAAATCTATATTTTGAATTCCTATAAATCTGGGCTGGAAAAAACAGTGACATGGTGAGTTAGATAGATACCCATGAACATTTATAAGGCATCATAAATCTCATGATAAGCAACCCAACTACATGCTTATTACATAGCTCTGAGGGCATCCTCTGTGAGTACAGGTGTACTGGGTTGTCCATCTATAGTTTCCTACTAAGTGTCGATTTCTCTACCATATTGTCAGTTTCCTGTGAAATTGGCCCCTTTCTTTTCTCTTCCATTCAACAAAAACTGGTATGTCAAAGTGAGTTTTTCTTCTTATAGACCATTCTGAAGGAATTAAAATTTTGTAATTCTCCAAAGATAAGCCTCTCTGTGAGAAACGCAAAATTCAAAACTGCCATCATATTTATTGTGTGAAAACATAATATTTTATCCTGGTGAAAAGAAAGCAGATTACCACAAACAAATAAGTCCCATTGTCTGTACATAAGAAGCATGATAGCATCGTTGATTGAGAATTGGCCTCAAAGCCAGGAAGACCTAGGTTTAAATCCTGCCTCTGACACATACTAATGGTGTCATTCAGGACAAGTCATTTAACCTCTTAATAATCTGGACCATTTCCTAAGACTAGATCTAAGTTGTAGAGAAGGTACCGATTTACATTGATAGAGGGAGCTTTGCCACCAAGTAGTTCTAGTGATATTAGAGGTCCAGTCCCTATCCCAGATCATACTCAAGATGAGAAAAAGTCATACTTCTTGGTATCCTTAATTATCCTATCGTTGGAGTTGAAAACTCAAGTTGGTATTAAATATTGCCGATCATTAGATAATATTGCAGTAAATCAAAGGGCCACTTAAGATGTTCTAAATTCAACTTATTTTAAAATAAAATTTAACCACAAGTCAAACAAGCCATTAGTTTAAAAAAAATCCATGCCTATTTTGTAGATCTGAGGGCATCTTTAATGAGTACAGGTACACTGTATTATCTATCTATTTACGCCTAATAAATGTTCCTCTCTACTGTATTGTCAATTTCCTCCAAAACTGAACCCCTTCCTTTCTCTTGCTTTTATCTGTCAAAGTAAGTTTTTCCTTTACAGACCATTAGCTAGAATTGTAAGAAAGAAGAGTCTCTATCAATTTACATTATAAGTAAAGAGTGGGGAAAGGAAAGTGTTAATAATATAAATAAGAAAAACATGCTGCATCTCTGAGTAAGGATCACTTTTTTTTTCTGTTTTTTGGATTTTGTGTCTTATCACTGCTTCTAAGTTTCTGTTCTAACTAGAAACCATGAAAGCAGCCTGTTTTTTTCCTTAACAATACCTTATTTCTGTTTGCAAGCCCAGAGCTGAATGCTGCCTAATTTCACAGAAAGCAAAGCTTTCTTTGGACATCTGGGCAAATGTAAGCACAGGAATCCTATTTGTAACTGCATAGCTGAGTAAGTTTGAGAGATTACTTCTGTTTCCGAAACGATGGCTGCTTACCAAGGGCTTTTATTAAAAATGTACCAAGTAATTATTGAAATATCAAATATTAAACCCACTTCATTAAGGCTAAACTGGGCTTTATTAATAAATGATTTGTTTACGGTCTGAGAGGCTGGATCAATTTCCACACCAAACCAACTATCTAATTTCTTTTTATTTGACTATTGACCATCAGACTTCTTTTGGGAACTTCACTTTAACCCTTTTGCCTAGTGTTTCTGTACAAAGAGGTTCTGTTAGCTTGCATAGTGGTCTGACCTGAAAGGAGATAGATTCTCAGAATGTCTTAATGCCCAGGGAAGGAGTTTTCTTATTAATATTGCCCTTTCCCTAGCACAGGATGAGAGATTTCTCCTCACTGGTTTCTCATCAATATTTATCTTCTGTAAGGATTTCAGAAGGGATTCCCAAAGTCTCCCATCTCAGCCTACTTCTTTCACAATGCCTCAGTCCCTTCAAGGCTGTCACAGAGGATCTAGGAGAAGCTCCCAAACTCCTCTGATCAGTGGGAGAAGGAAACAGGAAATAGGAAACAGGATTCTGATTTCCAGTATTTTTCTTTTTCTTTCTGCAGAGCTTATAAAAGGAACCTCTAAGAACAGAAGGGCATTTTGGTATACTAATGGACTATCCTCTATGCTGAACCTGGACTATGAGGAAGAAGTTTAATTATAATAATAATGAGATGAGAGTAATAGTACCTTACATTTGTATAGTTCTATTGATTTTTTTTTTGAAACGAAATCTCTCTATGTTGCCCAGGCTGGAAATGCAGGAGCCTCAAAGGGCTGATCCCACTGCAGACTGGCATAGGAGCCTGTTTCTGAGCTGGGCCCAGCTCAGTCCTCCGTAGCAGAGAGAGGTAGCCCCTCACTCTTGGGGCTCACCATAGCAGTGCCAGACTTAGTTTAGATACCTGATCAGCTTAGCACACTGTGATCCCCTAGCTTACCTCTTCCCAGCAGCAAGGACTACAGGGATGTACCTCTCTTGGCCAGCTCTACTGATTTTTCAAAGAACTTCCAACAGCTATTACTCTTTGATCCCCACAAAACCCCTTCGAGGTAGGTAGGGCATATGTTATTATCTCCATTTAATGGGTATAGAAACTGATGCACAGAAAAATTAAGCAACTTTATATTTATCATATTTTCTACTTCTATTTGTCACAATAAAAGGAGATTCTTGCACTGGGGAGAGGTTGGATTAGATACCTTTTGAGGCACTTTTCAACTCTAAGATTCCATGATTCTGGCTGCTGTAAGGTCAAACAGTTTATAGCGACATAACTGGAAGTAGAACCCAGGTATTTTGTCTCCTAGTACCCCACTCAGCCCTGGAAACAAAATCTTACTGGCTTGGTTTTATTTGTAGTGACTTAGATCTGGGGATGTGCTCATTCGTCTAGTTGCTTGCTTCTTTTTGCCTTCCACCTACTTACTGGAATTAAGGATAAAACATGAAGTGTAGCAAATGAGCATGCCCATGAACATGCCTACAGAGGATCCTGCTTCTTAATGCTGCCCCTTCTTCCCCACCTCGAAAAGGCCTTCCCTGCCAAGGTGGACTTATTAACAAGGAACTCAGAAAAGGAGGCTGCTGCCGATCATAAGTAGTATATAGTGTACACTTTGACAAAGAAGCTTTTCCTGTGATGGGAATGTGACAAGGTAGTCAAATGAGTTTACATTTACCTCTCTGATACTGGTAATACCAGCCGGTGATGTCTAGGAGAAAGTAAGAAAACATTTTACCAATCCTATTCTTTAAAAATAACAACATTCACTTTGTTTTTCAATGGAGGTGCTGCTTTGAGGATTGGGATCCCTTTAGTACATCCCCCGTCCCACTTTCCAAGAAATTTTGCTCATTTGTACCTGGGAATTGGAATGGCATCTTCCCTAACTTGGACCCAGAGGCAAAGGAAAAGTTGCTACCCCTGAGGCAGCATGGACACTACCTGTGTGCTCAGCCATGTGACCAAAGAGGAATGGAATGGGGGTGGGGTGGCGTGGGGTGCATGCTGAGATGTAGATGAGATCTGGTGAATGCAGGTGGTTCTGAAGATTAGTTTATGAAAACCTTTCAAATGCAAGCCCTCTCATCACACCATTTTCCTACCTCCAGTTTCACTTCCCAAGAAAGGAAATCAGAGAATCTTAGAATTTCCTTTCCCTCCATGACATCTTTAGATAACTCAGTTGAGGAAAAAGAATATTTGCTTCTGTAGAAAAAGGTGGTGTTGCATGTGTGGACAACACAGCAGGGGATTGTATACACACTACCAAGCTTAAAAATCATTTGGCACTTAGCCAATCAGAAACAAATCTAAATAGGGTTGCAATAGAGTTAATTGATCCTTGCCAGGTCATAGGAATAGGGAATCTTCAATACAATGAAATTCAATTCAACAGGCATTTATTTATTAAACACCTACTCTATGTTAGAAGTACTAGGCATACAGACACAAACACGGTTCCTGCCCTCAAGGAGCTTACATTCTATTGGATAGCTAGATATCAAATTCACTGCTTTCTAGTGTTCCCTTCTCAAGGTAGCTTTTAGGCAGCCCAAGCCTTTTGACATAAACTCCCCACCTAGTGCTCATAGGTCAGTGATTTTTGTTGCTATCAGGAAGAAGTGAGTGACTCACTCCAGGAATAGAACAGGCCAAAAAGTGAAGTCCTTATATTTTTTTAATATGCCACTCTGTGCAATGACTGAAAAATCATAATGTTGAGAATGATCCACTTTGACCTTGAGTGATTGAATCATTGAATAATTAATTGATTTTTTTACATGACAGAAAATCTATGTAGCTAGGAATGTTTCCTATGCTTTATTCCTATAACTCTTGTGCCAATATTCCCAAATACCTTATACCATCAAACTTAAACTTTCAGCCTGCTAAAAATGTGGCATTTGGGAGAATCTGGGTTCTCAAAGGCTGGGCCAGTGAAGCATAAACTTTCTTAGGTTCCATCAGGCTGTAAAGGCTTTGAGAATAGTTCTAACAACAGACTGGAATGGCCACTATATTACTTGGGATCATCGATTTAGAACTAGAACGGCCCTTGGAGGTGTTTGACCCAGATGCATTTCATAGATCAGATGAGATTGAGACCCAGAGAGATGACCTGAGAAGCCCATGGACACACGGGTAGTAAATAATTTGTGGTATAGTCAGGCTAAGAACCTAACACCTCTGATTCCAAGACCAATGCTCTTCCTACTACGCCTCTCAGCTTTTGGCCATGGCAATCCATGGAACAAAGAAAATCTATGGGCCACAGACACACTTAAATTTTTACAGTAAGTGGGGCAGAAAGACAGAGAAGGGAACAAAGAATACTGCTAGTAATACAGGTTTTAGGCTGTCTACAAATGCCAATTTAGCTATCGGTAGTCCAAATATAAGAACCTTGTCCAATGACCAATGAAAGGACAGCCTATTAGAAGAAAAAAAAGTCATACCGATCTTGACATTCTTGCTATACTTGAAACCAGAAGACAAAAGGAAATTGCAGTCAAATGGAAGGTTTGGTCACAAGTTCTCCTTGGAGAGACAAATAGAGAAGCTGGTAGAACTGCTTTTATCATGGGTCTAAGGGCAATGAGAAAGATTTTATGGGATGTTTGTTTATCTTGCCTTGTAGAGATTATGGCAAGCTTGGGCAAAAAGACCACTATGAGGATAACTATGCTAATGTCTGTTGTAGGGGATGAAGGGATAGATAAATTTTAGTAAGAATCCAATAGACCCTTGGAATTGAGTTTGCATATGCTCTAATACTCAGTTCCTTATACCATCGGTTCTCAAAACATTTGGTCTTAAAACCCTTTTATACTCTTAAAATTATTGAGGACCCCAAAAAGCTCCTGTTTGTGTGGGTTACATCTATTAGTATTTACTGCATTAGAAATGAAAACAGCTCAGTATTTTTATGAAAATAGTTTTGACCTTACAGACACTCAGAAAAGGTCTTGAAGATGCCAGTGGATCCCCAGACCACACTTTGAGAACTGTTGTCTTATGCCAATGAAATCAAATGTCTGGTGTCTTTCCCAATCTAGTTCTGTAGTGGTCTCTTTCTGGATTTAGGGAAGAGAAATATAGCTCATGCTCACAGGAAGCTTATCTAGTTATAATTTGTTAATATTAAAAGCAAAGGACATGGTGAGGACATGCGCCAGTCTGTGAAATAGGTACCCAGATGGACTCCCTTTGTTCTGACCAAGGACAAACAATAGCAAATGTGAAATTCAATTAGGAACCCCTGTGGAGGAAAGGGGTCTAGTCTGACTTTGATCTGACAAGACTGCTTTGGATTTGGTGAAACTTAAATCATATTTTGTTCTCTGGGAGTATATATTCTCCCAATGGTTTGAACATTAAAAAATTAAAACAAACAACTCCTTTATGCATTTACACTTGTCTTTAAAAATGCTGTCAAAAGGGCTACCAGACACCCCATATTTCTTCCTTGGTAGCAGTAAATTGTGTAATTTTAAAGAGGTAAATGAGATTAAAAATCCACACAATATGCATTAAATTTCAGTGAGGTCCACTGTTCCCAAAGTCACAGGAAACAGAAAAGCCAGGCTAGAGAGGTCATTTGATCCTCCTTTCCAGGTTACATAGGAGAGCAAACTGGCTTCCCAAACTATCTCCTGACATTAGACTCTTCAGGGCTTTCCTGAAAGACAAGGAATCTGTGTCTTTCAGAGGATCCATGTGGGCCATGGTTTCCTGAGGTAAAGGGCTAATCAGGCCTCTTCAGATATTTTGATGAGCTGAGCTGATTTTAGAAAGTAAAGTCATCACAAGACTTCTCCTTTCAGGGAGTCACATAAAACAAAATAAAACAAAAATGGCTCTGTGCCACCTATTTGTTCCCAAACTTTGAGAATCTTGGGATCACAGATTTAGAGCTGAAAAGAACCTTAGAGACCTCCCCTTATATACAGGGCAGCTAATGGAGCAATGGAAAGAAGGCTGGGCCTAGAGACAGGAAGACTTACTTAGTTCAAATCCAGCCTCAGGCACTTCCTATCTGAGTGACCCTGGGCAAGTTGCTTAACCCTGTTTGACTCAGTTTCCTCATCTGTAAAATGAAGTGGAGAAACCATTCCAGTATCTTTGCCAAGAAAACCCCATTTGGGGTTAAGAAGAGTCAGACACAGCTGAAATGACTGCATAACAAGAAAATGGAGACTGAGAGAGGTTACATAGCTAAGAAGTGTCTGAAGTGAAATTTGGACTCAGGAGTTCCTGACTCTAAGTCCTGAGCCCCTTCCACTAAATTTTCTGTTTTCAGCTTTGCTATTTCCTCTATTAAACAGTAAACTCTTTTACTGTAGGGACTGATCTTTATCCCAAACAACCAGCACAGAGCCTAGCACTAAGTAGGTACTTGATAAGTGTTTGTTGATTGAACAAATGAATGAATAATGAATTCTACCCAGGAATGAGCCAAAGAATTCAGGTTGGGAAGATGAGAGAGGTTGCCTTGTCAACTGGATGAGCCAGAAACATCCAAAGTGGGAAACTCAGAAAGTGTTAAAGGGAATTGAGTACAAATTGGGTTGCTGGACCTTCTAAGAGAATAGCCTCAGATTAGAGACCTGCTAAGCAGGAGGCTCCAAAAGAAAAAGAAATTCAAAGCTTAGTGTCATTTTCCTTAGCTAGGCATTCACAGAATCACAGATCCTGAACTGCAAGGGATATTGGAGGTCATCTAGAATAAACCACTTGTTTTATTTTTTAAATTCAATTTTTTGAATTTCTAAATTTTAAATTTTATTTCCAGATACAAATTCTCTCCCTCCCACTTTGCTCCCCTTTATCCTCCCCCCACAATGAGAAATCAAGAAAAACAAAGCCCATTATAAAAATGTACAGTCAGGCAAAACAAATTTCTGCATTGGTCATGATATTATATATCTATGTTCATGTATATATCTGTCTGGTACAGTGGATAGAAAGCCAGGTCTGAAGTCAGGAAGACTCATCTTCCTGAGTTCAAATCCAGCCTCAGACACCTACTAGCTGTGTGACCGTGGGCGAGTCACTTAACTCTGTTTATCTCGGTTTCCTCATCTGTAAAATGAGCTGGAGAAGGAAATGGCAAACCACTCCAGTATCTCTGCCAAGAAAACCCCAAATGGGGTCAACAAGAGTTGGACACAACTGAAACCCACTTCATAACAACAGTATATCTATCTATACTATCTATCTCATCTATGTCTACATCCTCTACATCTGTTTCTACAATTTATGTTTATCATCTATTTCTATAATCTGTATCATCTCTGTCTATATCATCTACATCTTCTATGTCTATATCACATGTAACTGTTTCTATAATGTACGTCTATAATAACTGTGTATATGTCTATATCTATCTACTATCTATATATCTATGTATCTACCATCTATGTCTATATCTATATCACCTTCATCTCTATCTGTATCTCTGCAGGTGGGTTGCATGAGTCTTCTGGAATTGTCAACCCCCTTATTTTTCATGTAAAAATAGGAACAGGAAAAGTTAAGTGACTAATCAGATCTGATGTATGTATTACTTTAAATTTGCCTGAAGAAAAAAAGTTGGCTACTCGAGGATTCTGGGTACCATAATTCACATTTACAGTTAGCTATCTGGAGATTTATCAATTTAGCAAGCCTTTATTAAGGTGGCTCATACATGCCAGGCACAAGCAGCAG